GCTTATCTAATTCTTTTTGAGGTATCAACAGTTTTAGATATTACGCCTTAATGATTTTTGTTATTGTGCAATAAAGCAAGTTTCTATTCTGTTTTTTTGCTTTCTGTGTTGCTCGTAGTGATATAGGAGGTCGACAGCTTTGATACATGGCTGTTAGGTTAAAAGCCAACCGTTGTACGGTAATTTCTTTCACATTTTGTTTTGTTTTTGCTGTGTTTTGTCGTTTGTTCATATGATCGATATTAACAACCCTAGTAATGCTACTTCAACGGCAAAATTACGCATATTTCCGAGTTCCAGAAATGTGTTCGTTTTGTTGAACTAAAATGGACTGAATTTACCCATTTTCCTAGAAATTCCGCTCATTTGAAAATCACGTGAGCCTGGTGAATAAATAGATCGATATCTTAAAAAGAAGAGAATCGTGTTTCATGTTTTTATACACATGTTCACACACTTTTTCTCTCTGTCTGTAAGCAATACTGCAGAGGCCACCTTTGGATAATATACGAATCAGGATTGTTATCCATAACACCACCAAAATTCAGAGTTAGTACTGGATCAAAAACATTCCGAACTTAAATTGCATATCGTGCTTTTTCGTTGGTCTGTTCAGCTACAATCAACGCACCAGTGAACAACAAACTTAACCGAAATTCAAAGGCCTTGCGTGACAGGTCTCTAGAAGCTTCCACACTGGTGCTTCGTTCACGCACCCGCGTTGGATTTACGCCTCACTGCCTTGTGGGTCAGACTTTCGAGTCAAAGGCACCGGTTAGGGTTCCCAAAGAGAAACCCCTTCGTCGGTGTGGGCAACCGCGAAGTATGTCGTTCCCAAAAGTCTTAGGTACCCATTTGGAGGACCGTCTTTCTCAACTGTCTATTTCCTCTTCTCACTCGCATACCTTAAAAGATGCATCCTGTTTGCGCCACCCATCGGATATCACTCAGTGTTCAACTAATGAGGCCAACCACTCAGAGGCTGCCAGATTTGTGAAACCGAAATCTCCTTTCCACTTAGCCGCCCTTAATGTCTGCACACTCTACCAGATTGGTCAACAAGGTGCCTTAGCTAGAAACCTTGAAACCTTTCATTTAGATGTATGCTGTGTCTCCAAAACACGCATATAAGACCCTATTTCAATCATCTCCTTGCGTTCCCCAGATCCAACCTCATCTTCACGCTTCACTTTCCTTGTGTCAGGCGATTCGACATCCGAAGCTCGCGTGGTTGCTGTTGGGATTGCGCTAAGTGCCAAGGTCGAGCGTTCACTTCTCGCCTGGATCCCGGTTAACAGCCGGCTTTGCGCCGTACGTCTGGATGGTTCAGCACGTGTCAACAGCTACAGAACGGAGCGTATGCACCGACAGATTGCAGTTGGCCAGAAATGAAGGATGAATTCTACAAGGACCTCCCTCAACTGCTCCGAAGTGCTCGGTCAACGGACATCGTGGTACTCGCTGGAGACTCCAGTGCTCAAGTGGGATCCTTGGACGAATCTGAGAGGCTACTTGTAGGTTCACATGCAATCCCAGCCAACAGGACTGACAACGGAGAACGCCTACTCCAACTTTGTACTGACCATGGACTGTTTCTGTCAAGCACGAACTTCTCACACACAAAACGCCAACCGCTTCACAGCGCTGGACTCAAATCGACCACATTGTCATCAGCCACCGCTGGCGAGGATCCATTGAAGACTGCCGCTCCTACTGGTCAACAACTGTGGACATGGATCAGGTTCTGCTACGAGTGAGATTCTCTCTACGCCTAGTAAAAATCCACAGGAGAGCCACCGAAAACGGATGCTCAAGATACAATGTCAACAATATTTACAAATCGACCTTCGATGCGGAACTATCAGATCGTCTCTCAGCACAACCATCAGCCGGAAGACTCAGTGGGCCCTGGTCGGCAATCAAGGAAGCGATCCAAATTTCAATCAAAACAACGGCCGATTCTGCCGCACGATCAAAGCAAAAACGATGGATCTCCCCGACTTCGGTTGCCCTGCTAGACGCTCGCAAAGCCATTCTTTCGGATTCAAACTACGGCAAAGAGCGCAAATCCGCTGAGCGTTAGCTCATCAAGAGTCTGAGGAATGACCGCGAGAAGTGGTTGGTAGGACAGTGTCGAGAGATGGAAATGGTTGCGACTATCGGTAATAGTCGCGATCTTTTCCGATCAATTAGGAGTACAGGTCCAAGGAAAGCAGGCGTAAATGAGGTAATTAAGGAGTCCGACGGCACACTGATCCATATTCATACCGATTTACAAGAAGGGCGACAGGTCCTCTTGTGAAAATCACAGAGGAATTAGTTTAATTAACATTACCTCTAAATTTCTCGCCGGGATCATACTCCGTCGATTGTCCGCCGCTCGTGAAGAGTGTATACGTGAGGACCAGGCTGGTTTTAGACCTAGTCGAGGTTGCATCGACCACATCTTTACTCTTCGTCAAATTCTAGAACAGACACTATTTTGGTAGACTTGCCATTTCCATCTTCTTCGACCTGAAAGCGGCCTTTGACTCAGTCGACCGCTCTAAACTCTGGTGCTGCCTTTTTCTGAAAGGTGCCCGAGAAGTTTATTTCAATATTACAATCCCTATATACTAATAGCCGAAGTCGAGTCCGGGCTTACGGCACTTTTTCACCCGAGTTCACCACGAAGTTGTTCGTCAGGGTTGTCCTCTCTCTTCTTTTCTATTTAACTTTGTCATAAATTTAATTCTTGAAACAGCCCTATTCTCGTGCGAGGATAGTGGCATCGATTTACCAGGCGGCAGACTGTCTGATCTAGAGTATGCAGACGACATTGTGCTACTAAGTGAAGATGCAGGTAAGTTGCAAGCATTTCTGGATAACTTGAATGCCAGTGTAGCCATATTCGGTATGCGTTTTGCACCTTCAAAGTGTAAAATGCAACTCCAAGATTGGGTTGGTCCATTCCCCAGTCTCACCCTGACCGGGGAAGTTGTACATAAAGTAGACAAGTTTTTCCACCTGGGAAGCTATATCTCACCTGGCGGGCGCATAACAGATGAAGTGTCGGCGCGCATACAGAAAGCTCGGTTGGCATTTGCCAA